CTTCTCAATGACGTTACCTGAAAATTATTAATCAATTATTTCAAAAGTGTGTCTTTAGTACCATTACTCAGTGGTGTAGTGGTAGTTGATTAGGTGAGTGTACTCCTAGGTAGATGAGTAGGGTTCTAAGGAGGAAGTGGGTATACTCTCCAACTTTTTTTTTTGTCTGATAGGTGAGTATACTGTAAACGGCCAGAAAAAAATGTCGTAGGTATACCCTGTATATCAATGTAAACTCTCTACTACACCATTGCCATTACCATTTGATACAATCAATGATATCAATAATTGGTACTTCTTGATCTGACATTTTCAGCTTGAATCAGTTGCATGCTGCCATGGCACTTCTGACCACCTAATCTTTTTGTAATTGCGTCATATCTCAAGATGACAAAGCTCATTTTCTCAAAATTAGGAATGCATAATATTGGATTTTTAACTGGTATCCGATATACCGAAATATATAACAACTTATTTGACCGATAACCGATACCAATATTGATATATCCACTTTTTCCCCACCTAATTCTAATGATCACCAAGTCTCTTCTGTAGTGGAATTAAAATCATATTATGCATGCATGCTCCTATCATGATGGGCCACCAGCAGATGGAGACATGAAATTCAATATTTTTCAATGTATGTAATATTCATTCAATGTGCAAAATAAGAAAAAGCATGTTGGCCATTTCCTAATTTTATTTTAAAGCCAATATCAGCTGATACCAATGACGTGCCAATATTATTGTGCATCCCTACTTGAGATAGTTAATAATTAACTCATGATCTCCAGATAATGCATCAAAAAAATAATTGGGAGGACGGTTGTTCTCTCTCACATCTGTATACATGGAAACTGATTGTCTGCCTTGCTGGGCATAATGCCAGATACTACATTAATATCAGAATACAGTGACCCCTCCATCTGAGTACATTTTTGTTGTTAAACATGCTTTATTCCATCTAAATGTTCATATATTTTAGCCCGATTTGGTTGTAAATATTTTTTAGTATAACACCATGATGGTCAATATGAGAATTTATCAGCAGTCAGGTAAAAGTAAATTGAAAACCTTGCCATAGGAGCCAGCAGCTAACTCAGCTTAGCACAAAGACAGTACAACCAGGAAAAACAACAGGCCTGGCTTTGCCTTGTGTAGGCTAACCAATCCTGCCTATCCGCAACTTTTAATGCTTAAAATTAACACATTATATGTATTTATAGAGAGGAAATGTAGTGAGACTCCTGTCGAGTGAATATTCACACACACACACACACACACACACACACACACCTCTATCAGGTTCCTCTGCTCCTCAGGAGACACGAAGGTACAGCCTTTGTGGACTTGCTGGAGGCAGAGGCTGCAGATCGGACGGCCATGTTGGCTGCAGAACAGCTCCATCAGCTTGTGGTGGTCCGGGCAGATCCGCTCCGACAGGTCGCCCACAGGCTCACTCAGCTGGTGGAGGCGAAATATTGGGTTTTCCCGGTGAGGCCGCAGGTGCTCGTCACAGAAAGAGGCCATGCAGGTGAGGCAGGTTTTGGACGCCTCTGCCTCCATACATGTATCACAGCGTAGAACATCCTTTTCCTCGGCTTTGCTCTCCTCCACCACCAGGCCGGCCTCGCTCCTGCTTGTCATGCTGATGGTCTCAACGACGGTGCTGAGGACCGTGTTTTTCTTCAGCTCCGGTTTGGTGGAGAAGATGGTGAGACACTGAGGACAGCTGTAGGAGTCCTTCCAGGTGGCCAGGAGACAGTCCTGACAGAAGTTGTGTCCGCAGGGGATGGTCACCGGACAGTCAAAGGTACTCAGACAGATGCTGCAGGTCAGCTCATCCTCCAGACTCATCAGAGAAAACTGACTCTCGCTCAGTTCGGCCATGATGAGTCTTCAGCTCAGGCTGTGAGGGAGAAACGAAACTTAACTTGAAAACGTAATCCCCATGCCCCTCCCTGTGTCCTCAATGAAAACCAAGTCCCACTACTGGCGTTAGAATAACGTTCAAACAACTTTAACGCAGCTGACCTATCAACATACAATCCAACTCCTCACCTTATTTTCCTTATAGCGATAAATGTAGACAGCACACAAACTATTTATCTTTACAGGACTTCTGCCACATAGGCTACCCTTTGTCCTAGAACAGCTAACTGCAGCTTAATGGCCTCAATTAAGGCAGTAACTGTGTGTGTTATCATGATAGCTCATGACTAGGAAAAACACATTCCTTGCTCTCTCTCTCTGTTTGTGTTTCTGTGTGTAGCCTATGTGTGTGAGTGTAAGTGTGTCGTAGGCCCATGCAGACAGAACCCAGGTGGTACTCAAGCCCCTACACCTTTCCTCTCTGTCTAGGTAAATTCCAAATATCCTTTTTGGAAGACTTTTTTTTCTGTTTCTTTTAATAATTCTATATTTTGGTCTTTTAAATTTGGAAGTGTGTTTTATGCCCGACAACCGCATTTTAGTCGAACCCCGGCCCCTCCCTCTTCATCTTCCCTTGTGGCAGCCGCACACAAATCTTGCGCCCTGCAGACATTTCTCCTGCTCATTACTGTGTACAAATGTACTGTATGTACTGAGGACTAAAGCTCAAGATAACCTCAGGTGCTGGCAGATAGAAACCTCTCAGAAGAGTGCACTTTGCATGTACACAATGTTTCGTGCGTGCAAAAAAAAAAAAAAAAAAAAGATAAAATTTTATTGAGGGATGCCCTTTTTTTCCACTTGAGCACCTGTCCTGCAAAATGTTTGTGCACGCCACTGTGTGTGTGTGTGTGTGTGTGTGTGTGTGTGTGTGTGTGTGTGTGTGTGTCTGTGTGAGCTCAGCCTACTTTGTCACACTTCACCTCATCAACTCTGTGAAAGTGAAATCCTGTTTAATTGCATTGGCAGTGAAGGCTTAACTATTAACTGGCGCTATATTTAAGGTGTTCTGATGTAAGCCACATATGTCAAACTACTATATTTGAATTCATTCAATGGCAGTAATATATTACAAGTCAAAAGCACACAGAGATGCTCGTTAGCTATAAAAAACATGAAAAATGTTGAATCACATGGAATAGGGTGAGTATTGTTAAAACGGGACATTTTCTGAAAATCGGAATTCTGGAGCAATTTGCTGAATCATCCCATTGCCTTAGCTTCCAACTTGATACAATTCTATAAACATTAACCTCCTGACTACAATATACAGAAGAAAAAATAAAGAATAATCAAACACAGAACTGATGACTCAATCTCAAACACAATCGTGTTCCCTCCAGATGTCAGTGCTCCTAATCCTATCTCTAAGGCTGAGCCCTGACACACGCTTGCTGGCTGGTTCATCCGGGCTGGTGGTTGGGCCTTGGCCATGGGACCTGGTCAGACTCAGCTTGAATAAGTAACATGAATCCGCCACCCTGTGAGCCCACCACCCACAGGGACAGGAATCAGGTGCAATGTGTGCTGGTCAACAGGCAGAGGCAGGGCCCCAGGCGTGGAGAGCCCCAAATACCAGGCTCTGAGAAATGAACACTCTCCCAAAATAATAAAAAAAACACCCTGAATTTGAAAACATGACAGACATGGAGAAACTCCCATACTTACTTGGGGAAATACCCAAATGTGAGAACACTGCAGCTAAATTCATCATCTCATGTCACGACATGAGGACAGCCAGTGGAACCTGAGAAACACAACTCAGTGTTTACTTCTTTTTAATTGTTTAATTCTTAATTATTTATTTATTCATTTATTTCTCGTATCAACATCAACACACACACACCCACACACACACACTAACAACTTCAACACAAACTTCCAGTCTTTGTGCCTGCCATAGACTGAGACAGGAAGTGACACACATATTTGTTGTTTTCTTCTTTTTTTTTGTTATTACTGTTATTATTATTACTGAGATTGATTGAATGTGACTATGACTGTGATTGAGTCAATCATAGTTATACATATTATACATACAGTATTACCAACAGTATAGATTATAACTAATTTATTGTAAATATTGTTTTCCTTTATTGTTATTATTTTGAATTCCAAACGCAGTGTTACCTCATGCCAATGAAGCCATTTGAATTGAATTGCATAGAATAGAATAGAATAGAATAGAATAGAATAGAGAGAGAGAGAGAGAGAGAGAGAGAGAGAGAGAGAGAGAGAGAGAGAGAGAGCTTTTTCTTAGTCAGCTAGCTGAAACATGGCTATGCTAGCTCCTCTTAGCTTAGTTCCAGAAAGCCAGCTGGTAACATATTCAAGAGAGAATATATTTGATCGAGGTTATAACATTGATTTCTTTTAGGACAGTTTTGTGATCCTAAAAAACATTTTTCAGAGCAGCATCACGTTTCAACAATAACAGGGTGTCCCATTTTAACAGTAGGCTATTGGCAAAATGGGACAGGATCAAATTTCACATTTTCAAAAGGGTTAATAAAATCATAGTAATTTTCATACACAATTACATTCCCATTAATAAATACATTAAAATGAAACAGTATCTGTTTTTAGATTTTTATAAACTGAACAACTTTGACATCAGAACACTGTTTCATTTCACTTACCATTATGACTCTGGAATCAACCAACTACTAATGAGAAAACTGTACGCTCTTTTTTTATCTGACAGTTTCTTACTTGACTTATTGCTATTTTTTTGGTTCCAGCTGAGATCGAACCATTTGAACCAGTTTATTTAACCAATTTAATTTAGTTTAAATGCTTTGAACGGATCAAAATTGGCCGTTTGAGCTGGAACAGAACTAGTTCCATATTGGTGGAAAAGGCGTGTGAGAGTACAATGACATGAGAGGATCGGTATCAATGTCATCTCGGTGCGTCTAAATGCACATCTGAAGGGGACACAGACAGATGAGGGTTGACATCAATGTCCACTACAGGTATACAGCAAAAGAGGCAGTTTCCCAAAATGTCAGCCAGCTCTTTAAACCACATGTGGCTTCTTAAAAAGAAAAAAAAAAAACAAGAGTGTCTGAGAGAGAGAGAAACATATTTTATTAATAACAATCATTGGTTCATTTGTATTACAAACGGTTTTGCGTAAACTTAATGTAATAGAACAAAAATCTTTAGAATGTTAACACAATCAAACTGGTTTGTCCATGCATCTCCTGTTTGTACACTGAATACAACCAGCACACACGAAGCATTGCACAAAGGTTGATTTGATAACTTTTGATGACACACACTTAAGTACAAGCCAATGTACTGGGACCCTTGAAAGTATCAGATACAAAGAACAGTATAAAATACACTGCAGCTGAAGAGCACAAGGACAAACAACAAAATGATCTGCAAGCCACCGGAGTCTACAGACTATACCACATTTTTTCAAGCCAAAAACAGAAAACGTAAGCTATAAAGTCAATGTTGCATGAAATAAACAAACTCTTTTACTCTGTTAAGCAAGAACGCACACACGTTATTTAAGCATAGTAGTAAGACTAAACCAGTGACAACACAGTATAATTGCTTGGCCACCTCTTATTTTATGGTAAAGCTTTCTATAGTTTCACAAAGCTATGTGTCCCAAACCACAATTCGCCACTGTGTTGATAAACTGCAAAAAGTGAAAACAGCAGATTTCACTTTACAGGTTCAGGCTTTACACGCAAAGATGCACTGTACCTTTAAATATTGCCATGTAAGCTAAAACTAAAGGTCCATACCTGAAGTGCTTTGCCTGAAATGCCTCAGAGATTTTTTTTACTTAATCAGCAGTTTAATTCACTACAGCAGCTGTCATGTCCAAACCTCTACCAGCTTATCAGCTTAGTCACGCTAGACAACAGTGTCTTCTCAACTGCTATGAAGATAGAACTTAAGCCACCTTTGTCAAAAAGACCAAAGAGAACTATGTTCAAACAGCTAACTTCACTGTACCTCATTTTGTGTAGACAGATCTGCTCAACACCCATACGGTTTGTCATGTCACATCTTTTAGCACCTGCAAGATGAGCGTGATCGTGGTTAGCCTGACCAAAACTGATCAGTATGCACTGACCAACCACTGATGTACTCCCGTGGTGCCACATTGGGAAATGAGCCACCATAACTATAGTCACTAGTGTGCTCAGCAAACATCTTACAAGCCGGGGTACACTTAGCATCAAACAACGAATAATAAACCCCAGTGAAACTAACATCTAACTACCCTCCTACCACCTTACCAAAAGCCAACGGAGCATTCTGATGGCTTATTGGTTTAATGTGATTACCGTATATGTGAAATTGTGTCACACCATGCAATCATGACATCCTGGGATCAAATCTGACCAAGGACCGCTGCTGCATGTCATCTTTCTCTCTCTTCGCCATTATCTCCTGACTCACACTCAACCAATAAAGACTGATAGCTCTTGATGAAAACATTCTATATGACTTCTATTCTCATCAGCCATACCAGTCAAAGAGTTGAAGTGATGATATAGGGCTGGGTGATACAAACAATATATTCAGTTATCTTGATAAACAAAATTTCACTGTCTGTAGGACACACTGCTTGTGCACGATGGACAGCCAGTCCAGCAAACAAACATGTATTTCTAGCCAGTCTTCTAGGAATGTACAACCTGTTTTAACAGGGTTAGTCACGTTAGCTCAACCAACCACAAGCTATTGTTTTTATTTCAAAAGTTGGAAAAATCTAGGCAATACAGGAAATCTTTAAGGTCACCAGAACTGATTCATATGATTTATGGGAAAAAAAATCTTGATAAAATGTTCACATTGCCCAGCCCTATAACCTGAAGAGCTACACTCCAAAACAAATATAGGTTTTTCACATGTAGACTTTATGTGAAAACACTGCATATAGACATATGCTGGAGAGTGACATAATTAAGTCACTTCTTTATCCAGTCATATTCGCAATACAGGAGACACACGAGTGCACGCATGCTGTGCGTATAGTGTACAGTGTGTGTCGTGTGTTCTGGTGTAATCCTAGTAAAGGATGGAGTAGCTCAAATCTCTGATATTGAAACCAGCACATGGAAACCCAGCTACCATTCCTCCCAGCTTCATCTCATCAAGGCAGCTGGCTGAATATGACAGCACACCCAGACTTTGTTACATTGTTGATTATCTGCTTCAGTTAGGTTTACTGAAAAAAAGAAAAGGAAGTATGGTAGATCATTTATTCTGCTCATCTTTTGCTATCAATAACAACATTATGTGTTTATTCCTTCTGCATATAAGATGTACAATATTTGCCTTGATCCAGACCTTTGAATCCGACCACTCCACTGAGTTAGAGTTGACTGAATGGTCTGGCATTGTGACATGAAATGATGTTTTCTCTGTCAAAAAAAACAACCAATGAGCTCCACGGGGGTGACTAACAATTAACCAATCAGCACCCTGGAGGGACTAACGCTGTTGTCAAGCAGTGCGTTGGAACCAATGAGGAGTAATATCAATGGCAACCACTATAGACAAAACAGACACTGCTAACAAGGCTGTTAAGACGACATGTCTTGTCAACACTGCCTGATATTGTGGTTTGTATTATTTCTCCCTGCTCTACTCTCAAAACAGGTAAGTTGGCATGGCTGCTCATCTGACTACTCATCAGTAGGTCTGCTTCATATCAGTGCACAAGTGCACAGCTTAACATGTAACAGCCAGGGCCAGGTAAGCTGTTAAAATGGAGTGTAATGTGTCAGCCAGCAGCAGCAGCAACCACGTAATTGTCAGCTGACAAAGCAAACACCAATGTCAGCCTACAGGGCAAAAGCCAAGGTAGTTTCTCCAGCATATCTGCTGGCTCCGAGACTGTCAAATGGTGTGGAGACTCCGCATACTCAGCGTATCACAGGCATACACCAGCATGCTGATGGTACGGAGATTGAGGCGGATATGTGGGTTTGTAGTGGTTGGTTAGAGGAAATCTTAAAGGAATCTCCAACCTCCACAGATATCAGAGTGGATGCAATGTCAGACTGAAGATTGTAACTGAGTGTAACGAGTTGACAATTCAGTCTGATATCAGGCAAATATAATATAGCTTTAAAAACATATTTATAGCTTGTTTTTAAATACTTATGAGGTGATTATGATGCATATGTGCATCCCAATCACCTTGAATGCAGTTTATAGGCTTAAAAACACAAGGTATGTTGTTTTTCCTGTGATTTGAAAAGCTAGCATATATGCTGCAGCTATAAATCAAAGCTAGCGTAGCTAACGACAACAGCTAAGAACTTAGCTGTAAATTCTGACATCCATTTTAAAGGTGATGCTTTAAGATGTCTATGGACTAATAATCCCAGGCTGGGCAGAAAAACCATTATCTATTCCTTTTTTGGTTTGACGCAGAGCTTACAGAGGGGCACCTAGCAGCAAGCAGTCACTGTTTCACCTGATCCATTCCAACAGCACAAAATGCCACTCAGTTTCAACAAGGCAACAAGGCCAGCTTTGTAAGCACAACTAGCAGGGTATGCTTTTCATTATTAGCCATTCTGTTTAGAAAAAGTGCTGATACTCTGTGTGTGTGTGTGTGTGTGTGTGTGTGTGTGTGTGTGTGTGCGCCTGTGTGCCTGTACATGCCATTTATGTGGATATGCTCCTCATGCCTGCAGCTTGCACAAAGTAATGGACGAGCCACTTGAGAAAATCCAGAAAGCTGGATACACAGCTTCAGCAAAGGGGAACACAAAGGAGTGGAAGGGATATGCCCTGTCTGCCACGTTATAGAACGTAGCGGTGCCCTCCTCACAATCCAACAGCACGCCTACGCGCTTTGGATTGGGATTGACCAGCACGGTCTCACTGCTGTTATACCATGCTGACAGCTTAACGTTAAACCACTCGACACACCAGGAATGGACATTGCGGCCCAGTCGACTGGTGGGACCTTTGCGGTCAATGCTGCTGTAAGCCAAGCCTACGCCAATGAAATTGTTGCTGCTAAGTCGGACTTCCCAGTAGTGGCGGCCTCTAGAGAAACCCTTAGTGGCGAGCACCTGGGAGCAGACAGCGAAGCGTTCAGGGCAGTCGGGGTAGTTTGTGTGTTCATCTGACACAGAGGCCTTAGTGAACTCCTCACTCAGTGCAATGCGTTTGTGGGCCGTCTTTGGATCCAAAGTGAGCACTGTACCATCTGATAGGGACAAAAACAAAACAAAAAAAGGACCATTCAAATAACAGACACAGTTGCTACTACCATTTGACAGAAAGATACCTGCTACACGTATACACTTACATTTCAGAAGTTCACTTCTTTTTTCAGCAGATGTTATGTTTGGGGGAATGTCCGATGTTTCTACATCAGAGGAGAAAAACTTAATTTGTCATCAAGTTCAGGGATAACAAACAAAAGCTTTATAAAGGGAAACTATCAATTTCACATTGAAGTCTGTTTACAGATGTTGGAGAGTACTACTGCATATGTGAAAAAAAGTCGTATAAAGCCTTTTGTTGCTCCAGAGAGAGCTGCACAAAGTCTGATATATTGCCTTAAGTGTTGTCACTTGAGTCAGTGTCAGCTGGGGCTGAATGCTGCAATCCATTGTACACAGGGAAAAAAAAAGAAAACCTCTGACTAGGGATGTCTGTATCGCCGCCGATACTAGCAAAAAAGCCCAGTGCTCCGCGAGTCAAGCAGTCCATTCCAGTGATCCGCTCCAGCTCTTACTATCAATTCTATTGTTGTCTATCTATTTGTTTTCTGCTCTGGTTTTTTGAGAGTGATATTTTTATTTGGTTTACACTCTTACTGTTTAAGTAAAGAGCACTGATGGCATTGTTTTGGGCACAATTAGTGAAATTGGAGCCATGGATGGACTACAAAAACACTACTAAAATAAGTGAAAAGGAAAGGCTACATTGTTTGTTAAATGCCAACAATGTTTTGTGGTGTTAATCTTTTTTTTATTTATTAGGGGGCCAAAGCACAAGTGTGTGGAGTCTTGCTGCTATTTTAATTTCAATGTTAGACATTTTAAAGATTTCTTGTGTTGATCTATTTTCTATTTATTAAGCGGCCAAAGCAAACCAGCTATATTTTTTATTTAATGTTAATGTTCAAATTTAAAGTTTGTTTATTTAACCCTGTTAACAATAAACAGGTCAGTTTCTCATACCAACTGTTGTGGATCATTCTAACTAACCCGATTAAGTAGTTGTTTTTGTTAGAGGAATATTGCTTGATCAAACCTTTTCTAACATGACTGACAACAAAATAAGTGAATATGTATAATACGTGCTTGGATCGGATTGGTATCGGTATTTGCCAAAACTCAAGGCTGTAATATCGGTATCGGATCGGAAGTGAAAAAGCTGGATCGGGACATCCCTACCTCTGACATCACAGCAACATGGCGGCACACAGTGAACTGAGCAGAATTAACTTTACTTTTTTATCAATTATTTCTTGATGTTGTGTTTTATGTAGTCTTTGTGCCATTGCCTGTCGTTCACACTATTATGCTTGGCACCCGTTTACACAACTTTGTGTTGTTATTTGAATAAGCAAAGACAAGCGAGACCTGCAGTGTGTCTCAAATCGCATACTCCTGTACTAAACACTTAATATTTTGAGTGCACAAGTGTGCTAAGTGTGATCACACTGCATAGTATGGGAAAATACAGTGTACTTATGGCGCACTCAAAACGGTCCAAAAGTTGAGTGTGGAATGATGGACACTTCTCACCCTCAATGGTCGCCATCTTTGTGGCCTAGCAGGAGCTATGTCACAAACTTCTCCAGTTTTGACATGGTGGCTGGGGACAACACGGAACCTGTTAGTTATACTTGTTTTTTGCACTAAGTCCCAATACTGGTGTCGAATAGAAGCTGTCAGTAATGTTTGTTGGGTCTGTAATGATTTGGTATTGCAAAAAATAATGCAAGTGGTAATTTTAGCTTGCTAGGTAACACTACCATTCTCTGGCTAGCTAACTGTTCTTAGCTATGGCCGCACATTTAAATCAGCATTGACATTGTGGTGTAAGCTTGGTTTTTGTGTTGGTGGAGATAGCTGTCAAATGTTGGCAATAATGTTCCACCATCCATTTGCAAATCGCCTAATAAAAAGAAGACAAAGACGAAGAAAAGGTGGTTAAACCAAAACAAAACAAAAGCCAGTGTCACTCTGGTAAATGCAAAAGAGCATTGCACGATTTGTGAAAGACTACCCTCTTGAAATTAGTGCACCATGCAAGAAGTACTTAGTGTACATAGTATACTACATTGAAGTGTACTAGCGGAGGTATGCGATTTAAGACACACTCTTAGTTTATGCTTGGTAATTGATTAGGTCCTCTGGCAAGTTTGAGCTTCACAAGCATCTGCAAATAAGAATCAGTTTGCTGCAGATGTCCATGTTTTCCTGAGTCGATGAACTGGTACTCATTTAGATCAGAAGTCGGGAATACCCTTAGTGAATTATCGACTTCTGACTTGCAATGCATTGCAGCAGTGGTCTACAGCTGAACAAAAAGAATTTGGGGGTGTGGATTGGACTGTGGGTAATATAGGCGCCAGTTTTTAAAAAGGAAGAAGGATATGTGGAATACAACATAGGATATCTCTGGTTTTGCTGCATCCATTTGGACATATCCTGTTTTAAACTCTCCATCATGAGTCCAGCAATGTTGTGATACTAAATTGGTGGAGTGCTCTTTTTAATTGATGGTGTTTACCTGGTATCTCTTTGGACTGGTCTGCAGGAGTTTGAGGGTTTGTCTTTCTGGGTTTGTCTTTCCCATCTAAATCCAACAGGTTTTCCATTGAACGGGCTTTATTCTTTTGTTCTGTTTTGTCATCCGTGGTTTGGGGAGGTTTTTGTTCTGAAGATAAAAAACACAGTATGTTTGTTATGTACTGCAGTGATAATTCTAAAGAGCTATTAAGTGTTATGTGACAGACAGCTGCAATCAACATACATTAAATAAAAGAGTTCTTACACCAACTAGTGACCAGGTGTAGGCAGGAACACATTACACGAGTGGACAAAATGTTACACAACCATCTCAGTATAATGCATTAGAGTACAATAGGACCAAAACTACAGCCTCCAAAATGATCATTACAGTTGAATCAACAATATGTCAAACTGAATGTTATGACCTTCATGAAGGTAGGATTGGTTGTATTGGTGTGAATGAATATAGTCCCTCACTCATGGCCACGATGCAAAAAATACATTTTAATAATTTACCAATGTTTCAACATGACAGTCTTCCTCAGGGTATTCTAAGATTTGTTGTATTCAAATGCATTTGTTTCTACTAGATGTATCCAATATACCACCAGAGTTTTATCTATTAGTTTGATTAAAAAAAAAAAAAAGACATTTTCTTACTTTGTTTCTTCTTTGGTGCTGCTTTGGGTTGAGGAACTGGACCTGTCCACTGTTGCTCTGTGATAGGAATAGGTGAAAGAACAGGCATTTTATTCTCAATCAATTATTCGTCACAAGTCACTTTTTTTCATGTATCAAAAGGCACAAGTTAGGACACATGCAACATACCAGATGACTGGTATATTCCTGGGTTGAAAGGTGTAAATCCCCCATAAGCTCCTGAGAACATGTTAGAAAGCCTCATTACAATAGTCTTTTTAGTCCACATGCATTTACCCCAATCTTGCCCCACCACAAGCCTAGTTTGACCATCCTGATGATATGAGGTCAACATTCTGTTTCGCTCTCTGTAACAGTGTGGACTTAATGCCGCCCCGTAACAAAAACACCAGGGAGCATCTTTATCACCAACGGAGCCAGTTGATAAATAAATCTTTAGCCAAATCCATTCATTGGAACGACAAAAATGTCTTTTCCTCCAAGAAACTCGGAGTGCATACTCTTGTTCTTGTTTAATTGTTATTGACTCTATTTCTCCAATAACTTCAGTTATTGCTGCGTTTACTAAAATTAGAGTTAGCGCCTGTTGCTTCAGGAGCTGCCATTACTGTTCTGCAAGCTGCAGCCTGCATTTTACATCATCAACTGTAATGCAGTACCTAAACTGCTGCTTATGTTGTCAAAGATGGTGCAGATTTCTCATTTGCCCTGGCTGAATTTCAATGTCTGAAAAGTGTTTGAGGTGGCACAGAGTCCAGACTGATACAAAAAGCAACACAGAATGTTGAGCTCACGTCATCAGGATGGTCTTACCACGCCACCCCAGCACACAACACCGTACCAATTTGAGGAATGTATTAAATTTAGGTAAGAGTAGCATCATTGTTTTGATTGGATTTCTTGATTTCTGTTTCCACCAAGTTCGGCGTAAACCAACTCACCAAAAATGCCAGTGTTAACATCTGCAACAAAAGTGGGCATGTTTGGCTTCATTATACTTTCTCAATGCATCTTCAACTGTAAAGTTTCCCACCTATTAAAAAGGAAAACTTTTTCCATGTTTTTGTGTCTCTAATCATTAAAGCCAGTCAAACACTCACACATTACTACAATACATAATTTTATGAGCAACATTGCCTATTCAGGTGGGTAGCATACATGCAGATTCAAATGGTGTCAGAGCCGATCTGCACATCACTAATATACATAGATACAGTAGGCCATATTTACATAGCCTTATGTACTGTAAAACTTAAATTAAAAGCCTAGTCCAAATTAAACACCCAGTCCCTTTTACTAGCCCGGCGTGGCTACACATTTTAACAAGTAAAGGCCTGGCTCAATTAGATGCCTGGTCTGGTTGCCAAGCAGTTCAATGTTATAGACATTTTTTGGGTGTATGAAACTGTTGTTGGCTGTTTGAGCTAATGCTAATTAGCTGCTTCGATCACACATACAAAAAGTAAATGTAAATTTTGTCAATATGGAGACGTTACATACGTTTAGCTCGGTTAGATTCTCCACACTTCAATCATTGAGTTCATTTTACTGAAACTGATTTAGTGTCTACTATTTTGTCCTGTGCTGTGAGCACCGACCAAGGTTTTTTTGGCTGAAACGCAAGAGTGCCTTTCTTTAAGAATACTAATGTTATTTTTATTGTTAAATCACTTGCTAGCTAGTTTCATGCAAGGAATAAACCCACTCCTCCTTAATTTCTGCGCAGAACTTGTGCTCACTATTGCTTTGCACATATTTTTTTAAAGAGCAGGGTCAGGGAGGAGACAGTGGACCAGAGGCCAGCAAGGATGATCATGCAGGGTCTTCACAGGTGAGGAGAGATTACAACTGGCTGAGAGAAAATATCTATAGCATAAAAGTGACTTTGAGGTTAATTTTCACAGCTATGTCACCACTACTATTCCTAATTCTATTTATGAGGTATCAGGCAGGTATCAGGACAGGGACCTGACAGTAGCACCAATTATCAGTCCAAGGCTTCACAGGTAAGGAGACATTATAACTGGCTAAGGAAATGTCTATAGGATAAGAAAGACTCTAAGATTAATTTTCACAGCTATTTCAGAACTTATTTATACTCTAAAATGTTTTTTGTCTGTATTGCAATAGCAATACTACTGCATTATTTGGGTTTTTGAAGGCAGCAGGTATAGGTCATGCCATTTTTCATTATCTTGATGAATTTTGCACATCTGTGTTGTCATATTTGACGATGTGTGCACGCAAAAAAATCAAAGCTACATTGCATCCCCCTTGTTAAAAATTAACAATTCGACCACTGCCTGTAGGGCTTACCATTTTGTAACTACTGGCTGCAGCGGTCTCTCTCAGCAAAGGACCAATTTCAAATATTGGTGTCTCCATTAGCCACTTAAGCCCCCTACAGCCTGTGAGATTTCTGTCTTAAAAGTTTAGTGCAAGCTACGCTGTGCGACATGGATCTAATAAACATGGGTATGACATCAAGTTTGATCTATGCAGACTGTATGGTGACAGCGCACTGAATTGCAGGCTACGACGAACGATGCAACAGCTTTCCATACTGACTGCGCAAGGATGTTACACGGGTTATTAGTTTTCCAACTGTGAAGCACAACATAGAGGGTCACATTATTAAATAACCTGAAGTTTTGTGAGCACTATATACTGTGGTGTGTCTGTGTGTGTGTGTGTGTTTGCTAGCTGCTAGGTTGCTCAGCTGGCAGCTGCAACTCCACCACTATAGAGTGTGCCAGTAAACCCGGAACTCTGTTAGCGCTTTTAGCACTTCCGGTACTCTCGTCTAAAAGTCAATACGTTTTTTGAATGGGATTTTGGTAAAATCCCTCAAATAAGGTCTGTGGTTAACAAAAGCTTAAGCGAGTTTCAGGTTTTGTTCTACGACATAAAACACGTCAGTAAATACCCTACTTGTGAATTTTGAAGCTTTTACGTGTCATAAAAAAGGCGGTTGCTAACAAGTTGCTCATTACTACTACAAACCCTGTTGGGGACATTTAATGTCATCACCCCTGAACAGGCGAGATTGCTGGCAGTCCGCCATTACAGTTTCTTATTTAGCTTAAACAGTCCGATTTCCCCATTATACAATGTTTTTAAAATGAAGCGGCCTAAATCAGTTGAAAGCTTAGTGGCGGTGACGTCAAGAGTCACGCGACCGTGGAGTAGTCCGTTAAAGCCTAACGTTATCTTTTTACTTCTCGCGATCGCATTTAAGCTTCAAATACGGTATGAAAGGTGTTCATATGTGAAGATTATCTTGCTGAACAAAACCTGTAAGTATCATAAACTTGTGTTAGCCACAGAGCTTATTTTCTGACATAATCCAAAACGCAATGCAAAAATCACATTCACTTTCTCTTCCAGGAACCAGCGCAATGCTAAACTTCCGGGTTTTGACGTCAGCACTGGCACACACTATTTCCTTCCATGCTTCGTCCTTCTTTATGCGGTCATAGTAAGAGCGGGAGGACACATCATACAGGCAAGGCTTCTGCTGCCACAACCTCTTTGCTGGAATCCCAGAATTTATTTTAGTGCATTTTGCCTCCACAGCAAATCTGTTTGGGTTTAGCGCGAGTGTGTCATTTCATGCTGCATCTCTATTGGTTGATAAGTAGATGTAGGTCGTAACAGCAGTCACACAGTGTCAGAAATTTGGGGTGACCATCTCATTGTCAGAATTTTATCCCAGGCTGTCTTTGATTGCAAGACCATGTGACAACAGCCATCCTTGAACCTCTCTCACTGTGTGACATAGGACCACCATTTTAGAGCCACAACCAAAGATGAACCAAGACGTTTCTTTGACGTTGGTCATCTTTTGTCTGGCACAGCCCAAAATCACACAGTGTATACTGGGCTTCAGACACAAGAACATGGGAAACTTAGTTTTCTTCAAATGTAAAGCTGCATTTTTTTTTTTAACGATTCTGATGGCCTACGTTTTAGTAGAAAACTGATGATCTCAGTGAGGATCGGATGACTACATGTTCCTAGCATCCCATTGTTTGCATGATTGTGTGTTTGTATGACTTACGTGCATTTGGTCTTCCCATAAATCTAGGACCTGGTGGATGCTGGGGGGGAAAGAAGCCTGCAGGTGGCCTAATATAACTAGGAGCTTGCTGGAATAAAGGCTGGATGGGTGGACGACCGGGACTGTGGGACCTGGGTGGCTTTTTCTGCTTTGGAGGCTTAGTTACGTCTAAAACAGAGAAGGTGAAAAGACATTTTGTGCACCCATAAGTATTTTGTCACATTGTAGAGAGTTGTGTGTTATAAAAATGCTTGTCAAATCAATTTATATTCATTTTTTTTTTACCCCTATCAAAGCACATACTGTATATGCGTGTCAGAGATGTATAAAAGGTATTTTATTACAATTTCTGGAGTCAGTATGCAAACTACAAACACATGTTGGCTAGCAAAAATACACAGATTTATATTTTTTTCTGTTATTTAAAAGCTGTGCAGACATGTGTGCCAATGTTTATGATTTACATGGGCAGATATTTTATTAATGGTTCTATATGAAATTATTATATTGATCTGTTCTGTATGACATCTATTGCACATCTGTCAGTCCTGGAATAGGGATCCCTCCTCAGTTGCTCTTCCTGAGGTTTCTACCATTTTTTCCCCCCGTTTAAGGGTTTTTTTGGGGAGTTTTTCCTTATCCGCTTTGAGGGTCCTAAGGACAGAGGGGTGTTGTATGCTGTAAAGCCCTCTGAGGCAAATTGTTATTTGTGATATTGGGCTTTATAAATAAAATTGATTGATTGATATGTAGAGATGAACATACCGGATTCTGGCTGAGATCCAGTACTTCCAGAATTTGCAGGTGCTGAGCCTGGAACTGGTTTTGCATCTGTGAATGATAAATGAATTGCATTTAGTGAACAACCCACTCAAGCTTCTGAGCCACAGCGGCAACTGATGATCCCAGTCAGTCCCAGTAACCGATCACCACTTAACACAGCATTAACCAAGTCAACATTTGATTTCATCTCCAGTCTCTCCCACACAACACAAACTCAGCAGATGCAACAATACCAGTTTTAAGTTCTGCAACAAAGCTGACCGTGATTCATTACATCTGCACATGTGAAATCTCTCACTCAAAATGTAACTGCACATTCACCTGGTTTAAGCATCGCCAGTCTGGCCTCAACGGGCTGTTTAAGGATCTCTGTCAGATACTCCTTCAGGGCAGCAGTAGAGGTCTGTGTTGCTGTCACCTTCTTGGAGTCCAGGGTGACTTGAGGGGTGTAAGGATCAAAGTTCACATTTTTGGGCAGGTTATACGAAGCCTGTGAGTAGAGGAACACAATGTTTTTTTCTTGATGAAACAAGGTTATATTAAAAACAGTCAATATAAAGCTATACTATTTTATATGATGGATCATATATGAGGTAAACACTGTCATTTAAATATCATTGGAATGATGTAAGAATAATGCGGTCAGATTGCAGTGTGATGGTTGAAATGCGGCAGCAAAATCAACTCCTGTGTTTCTCTTCAGTCACCCTGTCTCCTGATGTGAACTGTGCAGTCACACGTGATCTTTATTTCATAGACTGAATCAGATCAATCTGCAAAGTTTTATCTGGAATTATCCTGGTCAGATATCCCACTTGCATTAATTTAACACGTTAGCTGATTAAATAAATTAGAATATTATATTAAATTGACAGTATGCTTTGTGTCTTTGTGGGGCTGCAGGCATCAGTTTTTTTCAAGTACATCTGAACCATTTGATTGGTTTGTTTCCTTTATTTTCAGGATTTTGGCAGAGTCACTACATGTCTTTGTCAGGTACGCCACATATTGTAACATTCTGAATAAGTTGAACTACTCAGAAATGCCATCAATTTGCAAGTTAGTTACTTCTGTTTGGGATAATCATGTTTTGAGTTTTGTAAATGCAAGCAAAACGGAATGTGAAACTAAAAAGACCCATTGACTGAACTGACTAACTGCTGAAGCTGCTGAATATTAGCTTTGGCTGAACTCTGGAATATATTTTTGCACAGGATGAGAAGTGTGGATTTTGCCATCCATCACTTCAACTGAAATCACCTTTGAAATGGATTCAGTTCAGTCAGAGATACTATACTCCTGCATGGTAGGTCTGTATTTATGTCTCATACCATATGCCATTCACTCCTTGCATGCAAGCGCACTTATGCTTTGCTGTCATTGGCTATGTGTATGCACAAGATCAATCAGTTTTTTTGCCCTTATTTTGAAAAATACAGTTTTCCTACAAAGCTGTTTACATGGCTAATGAAAATAAATATACCACAAATATTCTTGTTTACATGCAGCTCTGCATACTACAATTAACATGCCTTCACATGTCTTTTATCATGTCAAAATATAAAAAAGTGGAACAACTGGAGCTGCACGTCATTTGTTCTTTGCATGAAAATAAGATGTTTTTTCAAAGTTTACTACTGATGGCAACTCTGTGAACACAGCCTCCCTCTTTCATGCCTGCATCCACCCTCTTGAAACGGTCGGTTTTGTGGCATTTGCGCATATCCAAAAACTTGCTGGTATCCAAGTCTGACATGACGTTAAAAAGTTGGTGTGTTTCTCCTTCCAACCAAAAATGTGGGCTTTTCTTTTGAACGTGGATCTCTACTCAGCTTTGCAAACTGTTAGCGAGTTGGTTTGTACACAACATCTCCATGACAACGCACAGAGCCAACCGTAAACTGAAAGGAGGCCGTGCGTCACGAACTTAGGTAAAAACCCCAGTTGAGAAGCATAGACCAAACTGGCTGAATACATGCCCAAATGATGCTCCTAAAACCTGAATAGTATCGGCATATCCCATATCTTAATCAGAAAATGATAATTCCAGAAAAAGGCCTAATTCGGAAAATCTGAACGGAATATGCTGTTTATATGGCCCACATTAAATTCAGAATATTGTCATATTCATAAATATAGTAAAACAGATATCTTTACTTCTTCACCTGTCTCTCCTGATTGGACTGTACATATGCATCTCTGTGTGTGTACTACTACTGTGGAGTGCTGCAGATTATTGCAGAAAAAATGCTCTGTGACACACAAAAGTATCTGATACTAGCACGTTTTGTTCAGCAAGATAATCTTTACAAATCAACACCACTTATTATTTTTTTTAAATGGAAATGCAATTGCCAGAAGTAAAAAGCTAAAGTAAGGCTATACACTGACTAAACCACGGTTGCATGACTTCAACGTCACCACCGCTAAGCTTCCAAATTGTAATTTGATTTTGCTTGCTTACCTCTTCTACAAAAGCCTTTCCTGTGTGACCTCATCAAGCTAGCGGTCATGACTGTGTCGATTGCCAGAGTAGTTTATAAGAGCGCAAGTATAAACATGACAATGCTATAAAGGCAGACGTATGAGTAGATGTGTTGGTTGTTTGGCATGATGGAGTTTAACATCTCCATCAACCTCTGTGGTCTCATTTCGCTACTTGTTAGAAACCGCCTTTTTTAAGACACAGCAAAGCTTCAAATTTTACAAGTAGGATATTTACTGACATAGTTTATGTTGTTGAACAAAACCTAAAAATCTCTTAAACTTGTCTTAACTAGCCTGGTTCCAGACCATAGACCCCGCCCACTCAACTGAGTAGGCTTGCATCTCTGGTCTGGCATACTGCAATGAATTTGCGATTTATCTCGTCCAAACATTGGAAGGACCAATGAACGCCGGGGGTGGGGGCGGGTCTAGCGATTAGCCAATCAGCGCCACACTGATGTCAAGCTGTGCGCCGGTGGGTAACTGGCGAGGATAGCAACAATGGCGACCGCTACAGATCTTACAGACGACATTAACAATGCTATCGAGGTATTTCGCCACTACTTGCGTTAATGGAGGACCAAATTAAGGAAGCTGCTAAACTGGATTTAACGGTGATGCAGCTGGGCGTGCACGACGACGGAGACATTTTAAACGGGCAATGCTCACTTGTTTTCAGCACCCCTGAGGCATGGATACTAATGACGTCAGATTCTGGGTGAGTCCTTGATCTCTACTGATTGGTTAGGGAAAAATCAAATTCCTTCCCCCTTGTAAATCGCCTTCAATGGAGGCGATGTCAGACTGAAAGTTCTGGGAGTTTCAGTCTGACACTCAGGCTATGTCTTAACCACAGACTTAATTTCAGGCATCTGACTTAAAACCCATTGACTTTAAGACAATGGAACCGGGAGTACTCAAATGCTGACTCATTTGTAGGGTTTTGGGCTCGGTCCAACAGTGCTCTATATAAATACTGCATGGACTGACAATCGCAGTTATCTCACCTGTAAGAAAGCCAGAGTTTGGGACTGACTCAGCAGACTTTGGATCTCTTCTTTAGCTTTGCCCATGCTGTCAATATTCTCAGTGAACTTCTTCACAAGACCCTTGAGTTTGGTCTCACCGCTCTCCAGCTCGCGGTCCACTGTGTTCAGAGCAACACGCTCCTCTTGGGCCAAGATATCCCGCATCTGCTGATACTCAGCTGTCAGAGTCTTCTTTCTGTTGGTCGCTGCGTCCTGGGGGAGAATCATGAGAAGATCCATAAAAAGATCAGTAGGTAAAAAGACTGGTAAATACAGGGCTTAGACAAAATAACAGAAATACTCTACAATACAAAACTCAGTGTTATGGATCGCAAATAAACAGGGATCACTTATTCATTTCTTTCTTTAGTCAAGCTTTTTCTTCTTTCAAGGCAATATTTTTTAAATTAATAATATTTATTATTATCATTGAAAATACAACAAAATTCGAGACTTACCCTGAGCTTGTTCTGCATGTTACCCATTTGAGATATAACGGTCTCATTCTTTGTAATTTTCGCGTCCAGCAAATCCAACTTGCCTCTCAGGTCAGACTACAAACAGAGAAACAAACACATCCAGAGAAACCTTCATTCCTTCATTATCTGTAATACTGGTACTGGTTGCAGTAGGGATTGAGCCCATCCCAGCTGACACTGGGCAAGAGGCGAGGTACACCCTGGACAGGTCACCCGACTATCACAAAGCTGTCACATATGGAGACAGACAACCATTCAAGATTATATTCACACCTACGAGCACTTTTAGAGTCGTCAATGAATCTGGACCGTGGGAGAGGCCAGAGAACTCAGAGAAAAGCCACGCTGACACAGGAAGAACATGCATACTCCACACAGAAGGGCCCCAGCCAGACAGCAGATTTGAACCCTGAACCCTATGAGTCGACAGTGCTAACCACTGCTCCCTGTCCCGCCCATTCAGAGAATCACACAGCTGTATTTATATGTGCTCACAACAATGAATCCTGCTCTGCTAGATCTGTGAACAGGTTTCACTGGAACTACTTCCTACCAAACAAATATTCCCTATGATACACACCGACAGTGTGTTCTGTGGATTATGTAGAAAAACAGACACACTATTTCTGGAAGACAATTTGGTGTTGCTTTATGAAATATTTATTTCAATGCTGTGAGCATTACAATTTAAATTCCATTTGACCCTATTTTTGAGAGGGATGCCCCTTTAAAGTTCTCAGGTGAACACACACACACACACACACACACACACACACACACCTCTATGAGGTTCCTCTGCTCCTCAGGAGACACGAAGGTACAGCCTTTGTGGACTTGCTGGAGGCAGAGGCTGCAGATCGGACGGCCATGTTGGCTGCAGAACAGCTCCATCAGCTTGTGGTGGTCCGGGCAGATCCGCTCCGACAGGTCGCCCACAGGCTCACTCAGCTGGTGGAGGCGAAATATTGGGTTTTCCTGGTGAGGCCGCAGGTGCTCGTCACAGAAAGAGGCCATGCAGGTGAGGCAGGTTTTGGACGCCTCTGCCTCCATACATGTATCACAGCGTAGAACATCCTTTTCCTCGGCTTTGCTCTCCTCCACCACCAGGCCGGCCTCGCTCCTGTTCGTCCTCAACACGAAGGTCTCCACGACGGTGCTGAGGACCGTGTTTTTCTTCAGCTCCGGTTTGGTGGAGAAGTGGGTCCGGCACTGAGGACAGCTGTAGGAGTCCTTCCAGGTGGCCAGGAGACAGTCCTGACAGAAGTTGTGTCCGCAGGGGATGGTCACCGGACAGTCAAAGGTACTCAGACAGATGCTGCAGGTCAGCTCATCCTCCAGACTCATTAGAGAAAACGGACTCTCGCTCAGTTCGGCCATGATGAGTCTTCAGCTCAGGCTGTGAGGGAGAAACGAAACTTAACTCAAGCGCGTGAAAACGAAAGTAGAGAGATGTCGCTTAAAGCAGTATTTAGCGTTAAAGTAGACGACTTTTCTTTAGTTTGGCGTATTTTTGATCGCAAAAAACAGCGTTAAGTAAAACTGTCGGGGTAAAATGTTAGATTGAATGACTGAAAACGAGGTTTGAACATTCACGGCGACGCCGACCTCGTCGTTCAGGTTTAGGCTACAAATTAAAAAATGAACAGGCAATCCTGAAAGAAAAAGACTTTAATGAACAGAGATAAAATATCCCACAGTACCTGAAGTCCTCGGGTGTACAATAAATGCAGGATAACTCACTCCAACTCGATGACGTTGTGCTTGAGCTTCGCGCAGTTTGCTGTCCCACTGCGGTGAGTTCACTGGTCCAATATCAGCCGTGTGAGCATGACTGGCAAAGTCCGACCGCACACACACGCCCACACACATACACCTTCTTTCTCTCCCTCTCTCTCTCTCAATTTCAGTTTAAAGGGGGAGGCATGTCAAATAATTTTTTAAGCTCTGGAGAGGGACTTATGTTTTTTACTTTGGTTTAGGGGAGGGGCATACAACTTTAATGTCTGTATTTTGTGTTTAGTTTACCTTTTAAAGAAAACATGCCTTTGAACCCGGGTTTGGAAGGCATGTTTCCTTTGAAAATCACCATAATTACACCATAGCCAGAAACTGTAAATACAGATTTCTGATGGTCCTTGGACACATTACGTGGGATGGACCCTTCTGTCAGAAAAAAAAAAATCTGAGCTTAAAATATTAATATTTAATCAAAATCACTTTATTCTACATGTCTCATTTAAAATTTCACCATAAAGAAAAACCCTAACCCTTTCAAATATCAAAGGGTACAATTAGAAAATCTAAAAATTAATTTGGGGTGGAGGGAGTGTCATGCATTTACCCCAAGTCACTCAGGGAGGCTCAAGGAAAATATTTGTAGCTTTGGGAAAGGTATAAAAAAAACAACAACAAAGTCACACCCCAGCCACCCACTCCTCTGACAAGTATAGAACAGTCCCTTACATTAAATATTTCTTGTTTGGAACAATAACATGCTCTCCAATTCTTCGTCTTTGGCGCTGTCTTCTCCTGTCTTTAGGGTTTTTGTTTCCTGTTTTATTTTGAAGGTCACTCTTTTCATTTGTCATGTCTTGGTTTACCTCCTACCTTTGTCTGTTTCAGCCTGTTTGCTCACACACCTGCCATGAATGTCTTGTTAGCCCCTCCCTGTTCCCTGAGTCTTACCTGCTCACCTGTATGTTATTAGTATTGTTTGCCCTGCCCTGCCCAAAGTTATTTACCTGAAAGCCTCAGTTAGGAATGGCAGGTGTGGAGATTGTAAGATGAGGGCATTTATAAGGCAGGAAGGCCTAACAAAAGCTGATATTGGTTGCAACATGATTTGGCATTTTTGACGCTTGTCCTGTAGTAGAAGCTGAAAGTCCCAATATCTTAGCCTCTGGTGCTTCTATTTGAACTATTCTTTTTTAAAATTGTGTCTCTTGCAAGTCTCCCAACTTTATGAAAGCACAAGACTAAGTTGTTGGAATGCCTTTTTCAGTAAGCTGGTAGACCTTAAAGAGAGAGTTTGTTTTTTTTTTTAAGTGGGGTTGCATTAGGTACTTATCCATAGTTTGGGGAAACAGACAGGAGTACCAGCACAAACAAGACAATGAGTACGTTGACATGCACAGTAATATTGCACTATTATTCCGAATATATCAATACTCTGAATTTGATGTGGGTCATGTAAACAGCATATTCTATTTAAATTTTCCAAATTAGACCTTTTTCTGAATTTAGCATTTTCTGATTAAGACACTTGGGATATGCAGATATTCAGCTTTTAATAGCATTATTTGGGCATGTATACAGCACATTTGGAATATGCTCTCAAGTGAGGTTTTTACCAATGGTTGTGACACATAGAAGCATAAAGCAGTATATAATGATATTTAAATTCTCAATTAAAGTATGCTGCAAGTACCTCAAAACGTCACCTCAGTGATGTAGCGGAGTAGATGTACTTAGCTACGTTCCACCACTTTTGCACTTTCAGTGACCCATTGCAGATTGTCCTGAGAGAAACACTTGCAGTTGTAGTTCTTTTATTTATGGGAAAGTTTTACAAATCAAAGACATCTTTAGCTGAGATACAGTAAAGCTGAAATGCAGACAGATCCTGTGAGTTTCATGTTCACCTCAGACAAAGTTTGCCTACTTACAGCCATTCGAAATATGTTCATGAAGTAAACCTACATCTGATCAAGAAACCATAAACAACTTAAGGTACTGGCTTTCACGTATTTACACAAACTGTGATACTGCAGCTCTAAATCTTTTTACTGTCAGAGTTTAGTTGCTGTTGATGTGTGGCTTTTCAGAATGCTGTATGTTGTTTTGGCCACTGTTGTAGGCCTCACTGAGCTGGTGGAGGTCCTTCAGCAGGTCTGCAAACTGTTCCTCCTGTAAGCATGTAGAAAACAGCAGGTTTTCTCTCAGTCACTCATATTTGCAATGTAGCTGCTGGATACTGTCAGTGAAGGGTTTTTTTCCCCATAATACCTTCAGAGTAAATGGGTTAGTATTACAGGAAAGACATGAATGTTAACTGATAACAACAACATGGATTAATAATTAATTCCAAAATTAAGATTATTTTATTAACTTTTCAACCAGAGGTCAGGTGAAAAATCCAAAGGGCACGAAATGCACTCTCAAATTGATTTGATTTTAATTTTAGGATGCCAAATTAGCACCACATTACACAAATAGTGCAAATATTTAGCTACAAAACAAATTGAAATTTGAAGTTGAGGGGATAGTTTGGATTTTTTTTTGAAGTGGGGCTGTATGAAGTACACTCCATAGTCAGTTTATTACAGACAGCAGATGTCAGTCAGCATGCCCCCAGTGTGGAGAACCAGGCTGGAGTCCAATACAGAAGCTGAGCGATGTACTGCTGTGGAGGGGTCAGCAACAAAACATATTTTAGCCACCTAAACAAAGTCCCACCTGAAAAAATCAGTTTAATCAGTTTAAGTGTGTGCTATATTGAGAGTAATTTTAGTAGAGTAATTATTGTCAGTCAGCCAATTCCAACAGGGAAGCCATTAACAGCTTCAGTTCCCCATCTATGCTCTTGTCAAAGCCAGCAGACTCATTGACAAAAACAGTCATTTTAACTCACTGAACACAGGTCTATTGCTGCTTCAATCAGTTAGTTAGTTTGTGTGTGACTTTGGTGACTCCAAACCCACCCTTTTAAATGCCAAAGTCATACATTACACAAACAAAATACCTGATCAAGGCAGTGGTAGACCAGCAGCTCCTGTGTTTAGCAATGTTAAATTCCTGGTTTTCTCAATGAGGTTGGGCTTTGAAAAGAGCGATTGAACAGCTTCATTTTCCCGTTGAAAATCACTGTCCTGACATTAAGCTAAAGCAATGAAAATATTCTAAATATAGCATACACTTAAACTGATATGATGGGACTTTTTAGGTGGCTAAAATACTTTTTCGTTGCTGACCCCTACACAGCAGTACAATGCCAACGGTTCTACAAAGTTCAGTGCCATTTTGACTGACATGGGCTTCAGTAAATAAAAAGTGGGTGGTGAAGTGAACCATTCCTTTAATGAAGCTCGATAATTGTCTGTCTTTCTTACCAGTATGTTCATTCGCTCGGCTGCTGCAATGGCAACGCTTAGCTTCCTCTCATCTTCTTCCCTCTCCTCCTCAATCACACCCAGCCTGTGTCAGACACAAATAGTAGAGATGCTCATACAGACGAGCACAGAAAACCTCAGTAACAAATGATATGGAGACATCTAATAATTTACTGATAATTAGAAATATAAAAAAAATAGAACGCAGTCTACCCTACTGCTTTCTACACCCAATCCAGATGAAGTATCAACAGCTTCATTAATCTTTATGAGTGTAATTCAATGTGGAATACAGTGTGCAGGTTGAATATACATATGCACAATAAACACACAAAATGCTGGCAAAATTTCATGTTTAGACAGAATACATTTGCTGACAAATGGAACAAGCACATTACTGTTTATCTCTACTGTCTTACCTGAAGGTGGCACTGGCGAGCTGCTCCTCTCGCACAGCCAGCTGATTCTGGAGCTCTGTCACCTCAGCCTGCAGCATTGCATTCTGGTCCTGGCTTTGGATGATGAAGTCCTCCAGGCGCTTTGCCATGTCCAGTTCACGCTCTGTCACCTGCTCTATTCCCAGACGAAGCTCTGATAGCTCTTGAGCATGCTGGTATGTGAACAACAATTTGACATTTTATGAAATCCCATTGAATTAGCTATACCTGCTTATCCTTCAGAGTGTTACAGGGAGTGGAGCTGATCTCAGCTGATGTTGGGCAACAGTGCTAACCACAGCGCCACGCCCAACCCGATGTATTTTATGAAATCTCATAATAAATTCTTATACTATACAGCCAGAATTATGTCACTTTAGTGGGTAGCATGTTTGACATACCCTATCCAGTAAGTTGAACTGCTCATTCTCAGTCTTCATCTCACTTGACTCCCTGTTGTGGCTGACTTTGATCCATGGAACTGGTGCGGGTTGACGTTTGACAGTGGCACTCTGAAACAAAAGGAAAGACAGTCTACTTGATTCCTTCTGATAAACCAAGGTCATGCTATTTCTGTGTTACCACACGTCAAAAATAAGTTTATTACTACTGATTAAAAATGCAATAATTCAAGATAGGCCACTAAAAAACATGAGGTATTTATTACATTACAGCAGTGGCATAGCCACATGCTTAGGTCAGCAGTCAAAATAGCCAGATTCACAGTTCCTCTTTGTACTCACAGTATTTGGTGATGTGATAAGTGGTTGGTTGGTCTCCATTTCTTGTTCATTGTCAGCTATCGGCAGAGCTTCAGAACTTGTTTGCCTTTTCAAGGTATGTTTTGCCTGACCAGGACGTCTGTGTGGAGCACTCTGAGTTCTGGTGACTGGCTTCCTCTCTCTCATACTCCTCCGATGCCTGCCATCCCTGGTGAATGAATTAATTTATTAGTAAGTGCCATACATCACATGATGGCATTTGGAAAATCTGCAAATCATTTTATTATTTTAAACAATCCATGTGTATTGTACACTATGCACATGTACATATCCCAAATTGATTGACTGATTGATTGATTCTTTATTTCGAACATATTTTAAAAAAGAAAGTAAAAGAACAGACATATAAAATAAATCATAGGTGTTATAGTTTCTCAAAAAACAAAACCAATATTCAAATCAATAAACAACGTATGCTCGAAAAGGAGCAGGAGGAAGCCAAGCTTCTCAGTTCCCACCCCTTATTCACTGCTCCATCATTACATTACAATTGAGTTAAGGGTTATTATAGTATGCCTTTGACTCAGCACAGATATATTGCAGTGAATGGTAGTTATTTTCCACATGGTGTATGTGATATTTTAAAGAAATAAAGATTCTTCAGGATAAACCTTGACTACTTTTAAGGCGTGGGGATGTAAAACATCAAATTTAAAGTGTTAATCATTCATTGTCATTGTTATAATTGCCTGTCTGGGGGCCTTAATTTTCAGTTGACCCACTTCCAAACCCTATGTATGATCATGAGCTCTGGGTATTCACTGAAAGAATGGAGCTGTGAACACACGTGACCAGAAGGGTGGGCTTGAGTCATGTGACCTTGACGTGAGTCAGACAAATAAAACTTTGGACTTAACTTGTCAAAATCAAAAAAGATTTGCAACTTGTGACATCACTTGGACTAGAGCCTTTTGACTCAAAAAAAAAGGTAATACCTTCACCTAAGCCCAAAAATAAGACATATGTTATTTAAAGTGCGCGACAAATCAATGCATTTCCCTTAAATTCCTGCATAAACTAACATTAATGCTATTCACTCCGAGCCAGTTGGAACAAATTATAACAAAGATAATTTCACTCAACAAAAAAACATGAATTGCGGAATGCAAAACATGTGGGTCAAAAATTACGGACTGAAGCAGAAAATTTGTTTTAACACATAAATACAACATTTAAAGCAATCATGATTTTTGTAATTTTAATAGCCTATATTATTGTTCTGTTGTTAAAATGACATTACATTTGGTGAATAGTGTGTTATGACTTGTTTAGGACTCAAAACCCAAAGTTTAGGACTTGGGACTTGTCAGTCTTAACTTGGGACTTGACTTGGGTCTTGTCAGTCTTGATTTGGGACTTGGGGGCAAAGACTTGAGACTTAGTTGCAAAACAATGACTTGGTCCTACATCTACATGTTACTGAATAGAATATTTACTCTTCAGCATTGAGAAAGACCAGTTAGGGTTATTTGGGCTTAGCTATACTGGGCAGGTCCAACTGAGAGGACACCTAGGGGCTGGCCCAGAGCCTGCTGAAGGGATTACCAGAGTTGGGTGAGGGTTACTTTAAAAGTAATAAAATTACTTTACTGCATTACTTTTTTGAAAAGTAACTAGTTACTTTACTGTGTTACTCCCTGAGTAAAGTAACTCAAGTACTTTTAAAGTATTTTTGAGTATTCTACATTTCCTATTGGGCAATGGACCACAGGGTGCTAAGCCTACATTTTTTTGTCTCCAAAATTAACGTTATGGACCACTTGCCCTTCACTGAGATCCAATTCTCCCATCACAGCCGTCACTTTGACCAGTAGAAACACAAAACGATCTGCTGCCATAGACAACTGTGTGACAACAGCACCCCAGCATTTTTAATATTTCCTCTAGGGATGTTACCACACAGAGTAAAAGGGGAAATGATGGTGTGAAACAGCAGAGGCACTTTGTCAACCTGCTGAGTTAACGTTACTGTCATTAGCATCAAGCTAGCAAACAATGGTACATCCTCATAATGGAGACGGACATAAAGTAATAACATTAAAAAATAGTGGCGGGGCTTTTACTCACCACAACTGCAGAGGCTACCAGCTTAATTTGAAACAGACTACATTATAAAAGGGCCGTTATTTATTAATCCCTCTGTGTTTTTATATTTTTACTTTTTATCTACTCCCGTTGCCTTTATAAAGTTAATTCATTGCACCGTCATTTCAAACTCAACACTTCCTGAATTTGTTTCAAATTAAAAGCCCCTTATAACCTAGGCTGAGAGAATCCCTCCATTTTCTAAATAAGCTTTTATTGTGAAACATTTGTAGGAACTTGTTGTGGAGGATACAGTAGCTTGAATGTTTGCGTACGGTACTTCAAATTAATACAACAACATTCCGGCTGACACATGAACAGACACAGTGACTCAAAAAAATAGTAAAAGTAATAAAAATAGGACAAGAATAACCGATGACATCACACATGTGAAAGACGACCGGGGATAATTGGTGAGTACCATCGTGTAGTGTGTCATGTCTGTCGGCCAAGTCACAGCACGATTTTATAACTCCACAATCGTGTAATGTGACATAGTGACTGTCAGAATGGGCAGAAAAGTCGTGTAGTGTGTACCAGGCATAATGCAAGTCCTGAGTCTGACCTGTCTATTGAGTCGTGGGGATTTTACTGACGATCCTGCGGAATGTTTTAGTCTCCACCGTAGACAATGGCAGCATTTCTTCTACCACGTAGCGAGCCACAAGCTCCGTGGCTTCTTTCGGACTGATAGGTTTAACGTTATCTCCGTTATTAGAACCAAAAGACAGTAGTTGGTGTTTCGGAGCTTAAGGACCAGTGTTCTAAAAGTAATGAAAGTAACTGATGGCTTGTTTGAAAATGTAGTCAAGTATTTGATTACTCAAACAGCAAACTAACGCGTTAGGTTACTCGTTACTGCAAAAAGTAACATATGCCATCTGGTTTGCAACTACCTCTGGATTTGCAGAGATGATGCAGGACATGATAGACAGATGACAGATCTACTATTTAAGGAATGATGAGTGGATGGATGGTTGATACAAAAAACTAAGGGGCAGTCAGAAATCAACTTCATAATTACTGACATCCAAAAGTCAATATGGCTGAGTCCAGTAACAGACATACAATGATCTTACCCATCTCGTAGGCCTTTGGAGTCCACAGGAAGCTGCTGGAGTGATGATTGGAGAGGGCTATACTTGCTCAAGTCTTTGGGAGGAACGTACATCGGCTTGAATTGCCCCATTTGGCTGCAAAAAAGAGCTTGTTTAAGTAATATGTAACAACACCGTGTTTAAGTTTGTGATACATCACAACTCGCTCACAAGTCAAATAAAACATAGGCTTTGAACATACCTGGTGATTATCATCCGCTGTGCTTCGGGGCTCAGTGACTCTGTTATCTGGTTCAGAATTGACGGCAGAGGGTGCAGCTTGTCAACTGTGTCCTGAGGGAGATACAGTCTGTATGTTAGGCCCCATTTATTATACTTTTTAAACATGCAGTCACTATTTTGATATTTTCTATACTAATACGAAAAAATGCCATTAGAGCAAGCTGTACATGCAAACATCAATCATAATGTAGTCACTGTGCTTGACCATATCTGGATCTGGATAGGTATCACATTTTTACCATCAGGTGTAAATGAAGTTTTTAAGCAAGCAATTCGAGACTTGTTCTGTTAGGTGTGTAATAGTACTTGTATGTGAGTCTGCGAATTGATAGGAAACTTAACAGTGGGCTAATCAGTCCTCTGGTCCAATAATACACAAGGTTTAAGTTCATGTATACCCAAATACTGTAGGAATTAGACAAACCTTTACAACTAACTACCAAAATGGACTCATTGGTTTTCTGTCCTACCTGGTCCTTCTGATAGATGATGTCCACCAGAAGGCCATGGAGCACTGCCAAGCGCAGAGGCAGATCCACATAGCCATCGAAGGAAGACATTGGGATTTCTGTGTCTAGATTTGACACTTTTGATAGAAAACCCCTCATTCCATCCCAGTGCTGCTGCAGGAATTCATTCATAAAGAGCATATACTCCTCCTTCTCTCCAAACCTGAATTAGAAGGGGTCAAAGGGTCAAATTTTAATTATTATTTAAGCTACTTCAGGTAAACTAAGAGGATTTTTCATTCTCATCAGATTTCATAGCAGATAAGAGGCCACTCACTGGGTGAAGTTGGCCAGATTCTGGATGACTTTGGCAGTTAAAGTGAGGGTACGCAGGGTGTTTGGCTCTGGATAAGGCTGTGTCAGACCAAAAAGAGAAGGACTGAGGATAGCTGGGCATAAGAATCGAAGGAACAGGGAAGCAGATATGAGACGCTGGCCAATCTCTGGTCTGCCTTGGTCTTCACACAGCTCCACCCAGCTGGAGAAGATATTGTTTAACTCTTCGGGAAAGGGTCTGAAAGCAAGAAACAAAAAAAGCATCAGGTTTGTGAATTTGTCAACTTACTTGGCCTAACTTGTTACATTTATTGCATTTATTTATCTTCTACTGTACAATGACCTGTCTGCTCTCACCCTTGCGTCTCAATAATCTTCTGCACCACCTCCTCACAGGCTTCCATCAAGTGCTTCTGGTTGTTCGACAGTTCAGAGGCAGGGCATTTAAGCGGATCAACTTCACAGTTCTCCGTCAAGGCATAAAGACGGTTGATAAAGTCCCCTGCAGTGAAAAAAAAGCACAAAAGAATCAATGAAAACAAGCAAACTGCCAACCAATACTAGTTACAAGAAGCAAACTTAACCACTGAGCTGCTCTACCTAATGTGACAATGAGGTACTTCTGGCCAACCAGCTTCATATATTCATCTATGGCTTTAGTGGCCAGTGTGTTCTCTCTGAAGATCAGTGCCTCTCTCTCTCCAAGGCGCTCCACCTCTGCACTGCCAAGATCAATGAGGAACTCCTGAAGCACACACATTCAGATAAGAAAACATATGTCTGATTATTCCTTTCTGTTGTATTTTTAAAAAAAAATCAGATTGTGTTTAAATTGTAATTTCGCATTGTGGGAATTTAAATACAATTAGATACAATTGATGCAGTTAGCTTATTTGTATTTTCTGTGAGACTTATTCTGCACCTTGGCTTTGCCAATACTCTGCAGCACATGGACCAGAGCTCCTGCCAGCTCTTCCTTCTCCTTCACATTCAGAAGTGGCTCCAGGCTTCTGCACATTTCCACATAATCCAGTGTCACATACTCAGCAAACTCTTTGTATTTCTCCATTGGCAACACTTGCAAATTCTGAAAACGGGCCTTGATGCGGAGTGAAGCCTGCGGCCCCAGCAGTTCCTTGTTCCCTGCTGTTCCTGAGGCCTTGTATGGCGTGATGGGATACCACTTTTCCTGATAGGTCCTCCCTCTGATCTCGGCTAAAGGTATGGCCACACTGCCCAGTGGGTGCAGGCTGGACTCTTCTCGGGAGTGACGCTTTTTCTTGGGGTCCTCTTCCCGAAAGAGGTGCAGGGTGATTTGGGAGACACATGGCAGATTATCTAGCTCAAAGAATTCACCCCAGAATAACTGACAGCCTCCAGCCACACCTCCACTGGCCCCCAGGCCTCCTGAAGACCCAGTGGAAGAGTCCCCCGGCAGCTGGCGGTTAGGTGGCTTGCCGACAGCTCGGCTGCTGGTACGGGCGAAAAGGGTACCGTCCAGGTGTACCTCACAGTAATAACTTCGCTTGGGTGGGAGATCTTTAGCTTCATTTATCCACAGACTCAAGGAGTTCTCTGTGCGCTCGATGTTATCCTGTGAAAAAATGATGCATTTAGCTCCTTTTAGAAGAATTTTCATGTTGTGTGACAGATTTGTATGGAACAAATAGCTAATGGCTTACCTTGTTAGGCTGGGCAGCCCGTCTTAGGTCTTCAATCCAACGATCACGTTCAGCAGCTGAGGAGCAGCCAAAGCAGTGGGTGTTCTCAGAGTTTATGACCTATAAGTACATTGAAACCAACATGACTATGTTAGCCTTACTGGGATAGAAATTATTATTATTTTGGACACAATGGAGTGCACTATGTGAAGCTGCTGATGGAGCATCATAGACAGAATGCACAAGTCAAAGTGTACCTCAAAGCAGTACTTCTCCCCCAGAATGGAGCTGTGGACCGGCCTGATGACAGTGCTGGTGTCGGCACTCAGATCTAGACTCCCCACTGCACTGACTGGAATTGACACAGAATCCCGGGAACCATAGTGCCTTTGAAATAATCAGAGTAGAAAAAGTCAGTCAAAATGGAAAAGCTAAAAATGTGAATAAGGGTAATAACAATTTGCTTTAACCTAGAGTGCTGGCACCATAAAAGGTTACATGAATATGTAGGCTACCTGTGATATACAGTACAGGCCAAAAGTTTGGAAACACCTTCTCATTCAATGCGTTTTCTTTATTTTCATGACTATTTACATTGTAGATTCTCACTGAAGGCATCAAAACTATGAATGAACACATGTGGAGTTATGTACTTAACAAAAAAAGGTGAAATAACTGAAAACATGTTTTATATTCTAGTTTCTTCAAAATAGCCACCCTTTGCTCTGATTACTGCTTTGCACACTCTTGGCATTCTCTCCATGAGCTTCAAGAGGTAGTCACCTGAAATGGTTT